CTATGTTCACTCTGCTCTACCCTCCACTAGGTATGTGAGAAAAAACCTACTGCTGTTTGATCCAAGTACTGAGGTTATTTATGTTACATGCAGCCAAATTCAATAGTATTGACAGATACAGAAGGATACCTGAAAATCAATCCATCCTAAAAGAGCAGCGTTTTAAACTCAAATGGAAATAGGAGCCTGGCGGATCAAATGTGAGTCAATTTGGCCAAGTGTGTTAAAGTACAAAGTAGTGAACTCGAGAGGGTGGCCACGTGGAAGCAAGTAGCATCTGCAGCTCCGATCAGCAGCTGCCAGGTGGGCATTGGGCATGCCAGTCCAGCATTCCCACTGGGCCAGGAGTTCTGATTTTAAAGAGAAGCCCTCAATCTGGATTTTCATGTGAAGCTTTCCAATTTATAAATGTTGACTAAATTAAAACATTTTTAACTATCAAATAAAACATGACTGCAGATGAAAAGCACCTAGAAAGCTACAAGGTTTCAACCTTAGTACAGCAGGTTAAGGCAGAATAAGGCAGAATAAAAACAATATCCTAGTTCTAGAGAAACAATAATGATTAGCAACACAGTACCTATGTGTCAGATGGTGTTAAGGACTTTACGCCAATGATATCATTTTTTCTTTCTAGCCACCCCATGATGTATGGATTTTTTTTTTTTTTTTTTTGTGAGACAGTGTTTCACTATGTTGCCCTCAGTAGAGTTCCAGGGCATCACAGCTCACAGCAACCTCAAACTCTTTGGCTTAAGCAATTTTCTTGCCTCAGCCTCCCAAGTAGCTGAGACTACAGGCACCTGCCACAATGCCTGGCTATTTTTTGGTTGCAGTTGTCGTCGCCAGCCTTGGTGTATGTGGCCAGCACCCTACTCACTGAGCGCCGAGCCAGATATATGGATTATTATCCCTGTTTCATCAGTGAGAAAACTGGTGCTTAGAGAGATTAAGTAATTTGCTCCCAGTAATAGAGCTATGTGACAGAGCCAGGATTTCAGCGTAGGCTTGTATGACCCGGAAGCCTGTGCCCTTACACACCCTTCATAAGAAATGCCCACTGTAACTGGAAAGCACAAAAACTACTCCAAAATTACTACTAGCCAACCTACTATACATGAATAGTAGCTCTTGAAGAGATTTCCAAATCAGTTCTGAAAAAGACCCTGGCTGTCGTCCTCTTTCTTCGTTGCCTTTTAATAAAAGCAGCAAGGCACCGTCCAAAGACTCATTTACTCACTGATTTACTGAATGAACACTTCTACAGTGTTTTTCAGTTTGTTAAAATGCTTTTAAATGCATATCTTAGTTAACCCCGTGTCATTCTGGTGGTATTAGCCTCACCATTTGACAGATAATGAAACAGAGGATTAGAGAGATTAGTAAACTTGCTCAAGATCCAAGCCATTAGCAGAGCCCAGTCTTAAGCCATGGTCTCCTGATGTCAAGCCCTGTGTTCTTTCTGCTTCCTTCAGCAGAGTTCCCAACTCTACCACCTCACTTTAAAATAACCATTTGTGGCTCGGCGCCTTATAGCTCTACCGGCTAAAGCGCCAGCCACGTACACCTGAGGTGGTGAGTTCGAATCCCCAGCCCGGACCCACCAAACAACAATGACGGCTGCAACCAAAAAAAAATAGCCGGGCGTTGTGGCAGGGGCCTGTAGTCCCAGCTACTTGGGAGGCAGAGGCAGGAGACTCCCTTGAGCCCAGGAGTTGGAGGTTGCTGTGAGCTGTAATGCCACGGCACTCTACCCAAGGGGACAGCTTGAGGCTCTGTCTCAAAAAAAAATAAAAATAATAAAATAAAATAAAATAAAATAACCATTTGTTTGAACTAATTTATACTTAACTCTAAAGGAGTTCCAGTATGTCTGACAGCTCCCAGGTACCATATTTGCAGTTGCATGGATATCATCATCCCAGAATACAATCAGCAAGAGGACAAAAATAAATATATCAACTAATACTCTCAGAATTGGAATGTAAATGGGCACACATACAAGCCTTGGGAATCTAAATTTAGAAAGAAATATCCAGAAAGTCCCACAGTGAGCATCTGGCCCTGTGGGAGGCTGCCCACACTGTTTTGTGAACCTCAATTAGCCTAGGAAGAAAAAGAAAGCCTGGTACCCTCCCTGGCATCTTGCTTTTCAGAGGCACCAGTTGGGTGAGGAGCAGACTGACTTTTCATCCTGTTCTTTGATAAAAATGTTAAGGCCTAGAGTACAAAAAGGTAAATGTCTTGAAATAACTTGGTATTCCTGAAAGGCTGAAACACTTAAAAGTTCATCAGACTCTATACTATGGTTACATTACATACTCACAGCAATGATTCTCACCTGGGAGTCTAGGGGGACGGGATGGCAGGGGAAAAGTGCCCTGATCCCAGCCTAGGAGCTGGTTTAGTATGGGGGTCACATAAGGTTTTAAATCCTGATCAAGTCATCACAGGTTCACTCACCTCCTTCACAATTAAGCAGACTTAGTTTTTTTTGTTGTGTTTTGTCTTTTTTAGAGATGGAGTATTCCTCTGTTACCCTGGCTAGAGTGCAGTAGTATAATCATAGCTCACTGTAGCTCCAAACTCCTGTGGTTCAAGGGACTCTCCTGGCTCAGCCTCCTAAGTACCAGAGCTACCACACTGGCTTAAGTAGACTTTTAATTAGCCTTCCTGGTTGACAGTGACCACAAGAATCCAAGTTCCATTCTGGCAATGGATCTTGTCTCTTTTACTCCCTGAAATATACCAATCTTGTAAAATGGTGCATGACACACGATAAACATCAATAAATATTTGCTGAATCATTCAATCATTATGAATGATGGGGTGATGGATCGGGTACAAAGTGGTCAGAGGCCAAGAACAGGCTTCCATTAACTCAGTCATTTGCTTCCTCCTTTTCTCTTTGAAGACATACACTACTGCAGTTCAAGTTTCCTGAGGTCCAGGGTTGGGTCTAGGGCATCTTCTTTCATCATTCTCCTACTTTATAATACCCTCCTCCCACAACTGTGCCTCTAATGAGCTACTCTATCTGCCTGCCCTCCACTCTGTTAACACTGCTACTCAGCTTCTAATGTGTAAGTGCATTGCACACGATGTACTTCACCTCACTCTCAGCAGTAGCAACTGCATGCCTGTTCTATGCCAGGCACTGATATTGCTGACAGATGATGATATCATATTATGCCTGTTCTAAGACAGACATGGGTACTATGACGAGGCACAGTGCTTGCCTTCCAGAAGCTCACATCTGATGTGCAAGCCAGACATGTAAACAATTAGAATGCAATGTAGTAAGCATTATAATGCAGGTACTGTGGCCAAGGTTACAAACTGACAACTCTCAGGTGGAACCCAGCCTATACTGTCATGCAATTTCCATAATTAGTTGCTAACAGCTAAAAATGTGTTGCTTCCACATCACACTTTAGACTGCTGGCATCTCTTGAAAAATCAAAAGATCTGGCAATACTGAGCCTATATTTAAGGTGACCAGATTTTAACATTGGTAAAGCGGGACACCATTGACGGGGGCAGGGCCTGACAACAATGTAAACTTTGATAAGCAGTTCTCAATAATCACTTCTCAACAATTATTTGTTATTATTACAGTTTAACATTATAAAATTAACAAAAATAATATAAAACTCATATCCTGGCGAAATAGCCACATGGCAGCCGAAAACCGTATATTCCCTTACTGTTCTCCTGCCCATTCGTGCATTCTTTCCAAAAATCGAGACTTTTTTAAAATGCTGCTGGATGCGGGACAAATTGTTACAAAGCAGGACGTCTGGTGACCCTACCTATATTCCCCACAGCATCAACCAGCTAAGTAGCAGCTGCTCCTTTAGAAGGGACATGTGGCCTCTAGTCCTCCTACCCCAACCCATTGCCTCGTGTCTTCAGGCAATGACGCCAAGGGTTGGCTGCCAGTTTTTCTGCGCTGGTGTAGCTGTTTTAGAGTAAGTGTTCTCCATACCCATACTTCTACCATATGTGAGAAAATGAAAGATAAAATGATAGGGCCATGTGGAGAGCTTAAGAAAATGGTGGCAAACATTTCCTGTGAAAGTCAAGAATAATCCTACCTCTTTGATACGTATCTAAAGTGTGTCTGTATCATATACCCAACACATTTTGCTCATGCACAGCACTGGCCCATTGGTCTTCTCAGTGTGGGTCACCTCACGTGATGTAAAACAACTACGGGCCAGTGAGCTAGAAGCCAGGTTTCTTACTGTCTGGGAGCTCACTGTCTAGTAGGGCAGATACGTAAAAGGACCATAATGTGTTCTCTAGTAGGCATCGTTGGGAAGTAGGGACCATGGGATAGGTACTAAATCAGCCAGAAGAAGTTAGTGAAAAGCGAACAGAGGGGATGACCTTAAAAGTAAAGTTCTTCAGACGGACAGAGGAAGGTAAAAAGGTACTCTAAGTAAACTGCCAAAAGTAGTTCCCCAGCATTGAAAAGCGTTGCTCATCAAGATTACCCACCCTCCACAAAAAAAGATGGACAATTTCCCATAACTCCAGTCCACCTGAAAAAGTTTCCAGGAAAGTAAGGCCAATAAATGATCCTCTTCCTGCCTGAGAACTGCAGAAAGTGCAAGTCACCCCCAAGAGCAAATGTCCCGTTGTGTAATCCAACCTTACGTCACCAGTATGCCTCACTAGCATTTATTCAGTAGAAACAAAAACCTGGATTTCTATTGGATTCTGAAACTTTCCAGCACCAAGCTTCAAGCTAACATAAAATTGTCTATACTAAGATAGAAAGAAATATGCAGAGACTAGTCTAGCACCAAAGAAAACTCTTCCTCCCTCATTTTCTGCTACAAGGACACAGATGCCAAGGAAAGGAATTCCCACATCAAGATGGAAGGAAGGGCTGGCATTCAAGAGAAGAAACAAGAGAATAACAAATCCTTGTTCCCTGAGGAGTCACTAACTTGTAAAAAGCATTTCTTCATGTTAGTATTTTTCGCACCCACCTCTCCAGTCAGAGTCAAGGAGGAATTCTTGCCACTGAGGTGATTCTCAGCCTGAGTTGGCTCCTGTTGAGCTCGACGACCCATCTTGGGCCCCTGTAAAGACAGAGAGAGCGCACTGCTGACTCAGAAAAACACAGTTAGAAATTCCTCTACAATGGGCAGAGAAGAGGGCAAGCCCCCAAATTCCTTTTTTTTTTTTGGCCTGGGCTGGGTTTGAACCTGCCACCTCCAGCATATGGGGCCAGCACCTTACTCCTTTGAGCCACAGGCACCGCCCAAGCCCCCATATTCTTATGCAGGATTTTGGGAAGGCCTAATTTCAAAGCTGCATGAAAACAGTTATCAAGGAGCTTTTGGAAAGAATTCCTAAATTCCATAGCAATTGACTCCAGAGAGAAACAGATATATATGCTGATCAGATTTGCTTTTCCAGACATTAAGGGAACTCTATGACAAGAATGTTGAGACTTTATCTTCAGAAATCAGAGGACTTCAAAATTCTTAGTCATCAAATGAACCATATGCAGGTGTTTCCCAAGGCCCCCCAGAGTAGAGGTTCTGCATCTCAAATGCTTTCCAGTCCATAAACAAAATTTATTTAGGCAGATGTTGAAATGTTTATAGTTTTGCTTTACTTTGTTTAAAAAACCAGCATTAATATAAGCACTTTGTAGATCTCATTTAATGTGGGTGAGTCTAATTGTCACAATGACAGACACAGGGACTGACATCATTTTACAAATGAGGCCCAGGAAGGCAATGAAGTGGCAGACATAAATTTAAGAGCAAATCCTGGGTTCTTTCCACTATACCATGCTGAAATTTGTTTTGTTCTAAGGATTGACTGCACCAATGGTTACAGGGGTGCTCATAAAAACTCTTATGCAGTGTTTACACTTTAAATTGTAGTATCAATCATTTAGGTTTCAGGGATGATGGAAATAATCTCTCTGATAATTAGCAGCTTGATTTCTTCTCAAGGCAAACAATTCCATCCCTTCACCATGGTTGCCTCTGTCCATTTGTCATATCATTGGGTATCTGAATATGACATGTTATGTATAACAGTTGTGCTGAAACAAAAACTCAGTGATTGTCTCTAAATGCTATTTACAGATGGTTTTTCTAATGTTTGCTAAGAACTTTTAAAGTCTTAAACTTTTTAAAGACCCTATATAAATCCACAGGACAGAAAAACTACTTCAGCACCTTATTTTGCGTCTGTTAAATGTAGTCTGTTTATTGTCTATCATCCCCCCATCAAAATTTAAGCCCATCAGGGTAGGAACACTGTTTTATTTACTACTGTATCTCCAGCACCTAGGACAATAACTGATACAAAGTAGGGGCTCCATAAATATTTCCTGAAAGAATGAATGAATGAATAACTACATTCCCATCCCAGGTACTAAAAAAAAAACAAAAAATCACCTATCAGAAAGGCCTGGTGACACAATTATTTTCTCCCTCCAATCAGGCACCCTGCTTCATTCCAAAATAATTTGCAACTGGTTCTCCTATCTCCCTTAGAGAGGTACTCCTCTCGAGTACCTGGAGGACGTCCAATGCTACCAGGGCACTTCAAAACACTTAGGAGATTTCAACAGCAGAAACTAAAGACTTGCCCTGTGGTCCAACTTTTTAGTGACTGGGGATCCTAATTAATTTTAAAGATAAAAAGGCCTGATGGGGTTGTGATGAGTAAGATAAAACCCTGAACCGGGTTCTTGAATCAAGCTCTGTTACTTACTGATTATAACCTTATTTAAATCACAGCCTCAGGAGGCAACAACAGCTAACCTCTTCTGATAGCTTAGCTTATGCCAAGCACTCTGTTAAATCCTTTCCAAACATTATTTCATTTCATTTGCAGTCACATCTCCATTCTAGGCATAGAAAAACCAGAGGCCCAGAAAAGTTAACTAGTTGGTTTAAAAAACAAAACAAAACAAAACACGCAACAGCTTTGTACTCCATCTGACCTCACGGCCTGAGCACCTAATCCTTTCCTCAGGTTATAAATCAGTCTTAACTTCCTTAACTATAAAACCGAGGTAACGCCCCCCTTCCGTGGGGATTACGGAGAAGAAAGGCTGTCCCTGCCTGCCTCCTTTCCACATAATACAACAGTGCGACTTTTACGTGAACTTCTGGAATGCGGTGTCCTAAGGGGAAAACTCTAGGACGCGTGCGAGTGCCACTCTGGCCAGGGCCCCTTCAATCACTGTCGGACCTGTGAAGGGAGATGTTCGCACTTGGGACTTTGGAAAGCTCAAGAAAGGCTCGGAACTTTCCCACCAGTGCCAGAGGCCGGCAGGGATGGTATGTGTTTTCCACTTTTTGAGGATTTTAAAGAAAGGAAACCCCACGCCAGAAGCGCCGGGGGGCGGGGCGGATGAGGCCACCTCCTCCAGGCCTCGCCCAGCGCTGCTCGGGACCTGCCGCCCCGAGGCGCCTCAGGAAGCCGGAGCCGGCGAGGTCGCTCCTCCCCACCCACTAAATCTTTGCCCCAAACACCCGCGTGGGTCCTCACGGAGGCCGAGCCGCGGCGCCACTCCTCGCCCAGATCCAGCAGATCCTCCATCGCCGCGGCCGCCTGACGTCACTTCCTGGGAACCAAGCGGCCCGGCTGCGTCCCTAACGACGGCCCCGCCCTCTATTCCGATATTTAAAGGAGCCACAGCGTTGTTCCTGGCTTCTGTGCCATCATTCAACTTGAACCAAATCTTCCCTAAATTTCCCTTGCTTGACTTCTGGAAGAAACCTCCAGGTATTAAAATCTGCTAAGCCTGCTCCTGTTGGACAGTGAAATAATTTTAATTTTTAGGAACTTTCTGCATTTGTAGCTTATTATTTTATTTATTTATTTTTTTTGAGGCAGAGTCAGTCTGTCACCCTTGGTAGAGTGCCATAATGTCATAGCTCACAGCAACCTCAAACTCCTGAGCTTAAGCGATTCTCTTTCCTCAGCCTCCCAAGTAGCTGGGACTACAGGCGCCCGCCACAACGCCGGGCTATTTTTAGAGACAAGGTCTCACTCTGGCTCAGGCTAGTCACTTGTGAGCTCTGGCAATCCACCCGCCTCGGCCTCCCAAGTGCTGGGATTACAGGCGTGAGCCACCGTGCCCTGTGCATTTGTAGCTCTTTTAAAATACACAAGTAGGGTGGCGCCTGTGGCTCAGTGAGTAGGGTGCCAGCCCCATATACTGAGGGTGGCGGGTTCAAACCCGGCCCTGGCTAAACCGCCACAAAAACATATCCCAGCTACTCCAGAGGCTGAGGCAAGAGAACCACCTAAGCCCAAGAGCTGGAGGTTGCTGTGAGCAGTGTGACCCTGCCAGGGCACTTGGCACTCTACTGAGGGTGAGAAAGTGAGACTCTGTCTCAAAACAAATAAATAAAAAATAAAATACAAGAGTAATTAATTGTAAAGCACTACTGTTAATAGTAATAATTATATTTATGCTTCCCATTTGTACAGCTTTTTGCAATGTACAGGAGTCCATCCCAGTTCTTAGCTCATGTGAGGGCCATAACAACCTTGTATCTGACAGATAAGCAAACAGGTTCACAGGAAGTCAGGTGTAATAGTTTAGAGGAATTATGGAAAATGCAATATATAATCTCTGCCTTCAAGAAGTTTACAGAAAGGCTTGAGTAGTAATAACTTTCAAAAGTACAAATATTCAATATCTCATTAAATCCCAACATCCCCACAAGTGAGTAACAGTAGTATCTATACAACAATGGAGAACGCTGAGATACAAAGGAGTGGCTTGAGGAAAATCACCTGAGTGCCCAGCAGCAGAGCCCAGCATCGACACCACATATTACTGGAGTCAGCCATTCTCTTACAATGCAAGAGAGATGTCCCAAAAATTCCCAGCTCAATGGGGCAGCTGAGTTGAATCTTCACTGACTTCCCAGAGAAGATCCCCAAGTCAACACTGCTGGCCAGGTCCCTAACACCCGTTGACTGAGACCCACAGGAGATGGGCTTATGCCCTAAGAGTGAACAATGTGTCCTGTAATATGCTGGAGGTAAGACTTAGATGGCTACAGGTCAAAATCAAGCACTTGGAAGTGAGAGTAGCACCCCTAAAAGCAGATTGCAAGCATTTGCAAAATATTCATTAAATTACTCAGCTCAACCATTCATTCTACACATTTACTGTGCCCTAGCATACTTCTGAGAGGAAGAATGGTGTGGATATCCACCATTATCCACTGGTGGATAATGACCTATGTAGCCAGAGTGAGCCCTCTCTAGATTGAGAGGGCTCCTCCTTTGGAACTACCTTTAAAGATTACCTGTAACATCCTTTACTTACCCACCCTGCTTCTCAGAATATAATTCAGAATATTAGATTTTATTGTGAATACTCATTGCCAAAAATCCAAGACAGATGAAATATAGGCTCCAATGAATCCATTGTTCCCTTCTTCCTTGGTACCAGATGGATTTTTCTATTTCTTGTAAGCTCACACCCATACCACTACCACCTTATAGTCAGTTCCCAGACCTCACCTCCACTTCTTCCTCCACTTCCTGAAAACAAAAGGTGAATGACACTCCCCTTGGTACACTTCCCTTCTCTTCCCAGGGAGAAGCCCTAGTGTAGCTTCCAAACCTTGCTAAGCACCCAAATCATGTGTGATATTTGTTAAAAAAACAAGGATGTGAGGCCCCATTTGCTAAGGGTAGAGTCCAGAAGGGTATAACTTTAATAATTTTCTCTCTCATCTTGCAAGTGTTTGCTCAAAGTCCGCAGTAAGGCCTTCCTTGATCACCCCGTTTTATTTTTATTTATTTATTTATTTGCAGTTTTTAACAGGGGTGGGGTCTGAACCCACCACCTCCAGTATATGGGGCCGGTGCCCTACTCCTTGAGCCACAGGCGCTGAGCCTGATCACCCTATTTTAAATTGCAACATCCCCCACCCAGGCACTTCCTATCCTCCCTCTCTACTTGACTTTCTAACTTGGCATTTATCTTTTATCATAATTTATATATTTCACATAATTTACATATTTATTTAGTTGCTTTCTTCCCTCACTGTCCCATCCTTGCTTCTAAAATATAAGATCCATATTTTATAGAGAGAGAGCAAGGGTTTTGTTTGTTTTGTTCTCTGATATATCCACAGAACCTAGAATAGTGCCTGGCAGATAGTAAACATCAAATTATTCCTCAAATTTCAGAGGCAGTATATAGCACAGTAGCAGGATCATAGCTCAAACAGCTGGGCTGGAGCCACCCTCCTGCCTCAGCCTCCGGAGTAACTGGAACTACAGGCACTTGCCACCAGACCCAGTTAATTTTTCCTGGGTTTTTTTGTTTGTTTGGTTGGTTGGTTGGTTGGTTGAGTTTTTGTAGAGACAGGAGTCTCTGTATGTTGCCCAGGCTAGTCGAACTCCTGGCCACAAGAAATCTTCTTGCTTTGGTCTCCCAAAGGGCTGGGATTGCAGGTGTGAGCCACCAGGCCCAGCCTACTTTTACATTTCCTGTACTGGGTGTCCTTCTTGGTTATGAAAATGGAAATAAGGCCTAGCCAAACTGGACAGCCTGTGTTAAGTATCACCTCCACCACTCGCAGCAGTGTGGCCTTTTGAAAATATCTCTGTGCCTCTGTTCCCTCAACTATGAAATGATCCACCACTGTCCTGGGATGCAGCGAACATCCTTCCAGTCAGTGGTCCAAGTGCCAGACCTGTCAGGAAAGAGTCCAGGAAGGACAGAGATGGGAGCAGCACGAATTCTCAGGCAAATGATGAGTTCTAACACATCATTGCTGTGTTTGGAGGCTGGGGGGAGCAATGTGCCCTCCTTACTAAACCGCTTGTGAGAAAAGACTTAGAAGCTCAGGCTGAGAAGAACCAAAGCGGAGAGCAACTTCCCCTCACCCATCTGGGAAATGGGCTCCGGCCAATTGCTGACTTTGCGCTCGCTGGCGTAGTTCCCTGCGGAACACTCTGCGGGGAGGGAGGCGGCAAACATCTGGATGACATTTCTGCCGAGAGCGGCTCCGGAGCCCCGGCCCGGGATGCGAGAGGTGCACTTGTGCGCACGTGGGGCCGACAGGGAGGCAATTCCCCAACGCGCCGGGTCTTGTTTTTCTCGCCCTCTCGCCGCTGCCGCTCTGCAGTCCCCCAGCCCTGTCCGCCTCCCAGGCAGCCGTCCCGCGGAGCTTCTGACACTGGCGGCTTCACCTCGCCAGAGGGCACCCTCGATCTTCCGGAAAACGCCACCATTTTTCACTGCCCCTGGAGCGTCTCCAAGCTTCAGCCGGCCGCCCGACTCCAATCTTGTCAATGAAGAATCAGGGCCAGGATCGCCGCGGAACTGAACCCGACCCTCCAACCCAACTTGCAGGCTGGGCGTCGCCCGGATCGAGGGTGGCACGGCTGCCCCTGCCACTGTCCTCCCTCCCCCACCACTGCGGACCCAGCAGGGTGCCCTGCCCGGCCCGGGGCGGCCCGCGACTGGGGGCAGGGAGCGAGCGAGGCACCGGCCGAGAAGAGCGTGGACTGACAGCTGGCGAGAGGACGAAAGGGTTGGGGGAGAGGGAGGGAGGGGGCTCGGCGGAGTAACTTTCCAGAAAAACAGCCAGCGTGTAGCAGGAGTGACTCCAAGAGGGGAAAAAAAGTTCAGTTACCACGTCGAACGAGAGCACTCGCAAAGTATTTTTCAAATGGGCTCGGCTTTTCCTGTGCCTGTTTAAAACATTAAAATCGTGCAGCAAAAGAGGCTGCGTGCGCTGGTCCCTCCCTCCCCCACCCCAGGCCAGAGACGTCATGGGAGGGAGGTATAAAATTTCAGCAGAGAGAAATAGAGAAAGCAGTGTGTGTGCATGTGTGTGTGTGAGAAGAGGGAGAGGAGCGAGAGGGAGAGAGGGGGAGAGAGAGAGAGAAAAGAGAGGGTGAGTGAGAAAGGGAGGAAAGCAGAGAGCCAAGTTCAAGGGAATAGAGAGGCGAGCGATAGGGGAAGAAGCATTAGAAGGAAGGAATAACAGCTTTCCGGAGCAGGCGTGCAGTCAACTGGCTTCTATTTTCTTTTTCTTTTCCTTTTCATTTTTTTTAAAGAGAAGCAGGGGACAGAAGCGATGGCCGAGGGAGAAGACATGCCGAGGTGCTGGTGACCCAGGGCGTCCAAGTGGATTATTGGGGCTGCTCTCCAGAGGCCTGTCCTCCCTGCCTTCCAATTGCACATAACCCACACCCCAGCCAATGAAGACGAGAGGCAGCGTGAACAAACTCATTTAGAAAGCCCCCGAGGAAGTGTAAACAAAAGAGAAAGCATGAATGGAGTGCCTGAGAGACAAGTGTGTCCTTATTGCCCCCACCTTTAGCCCAGCCCTGCCTCTCCCCACCTACTCACTGGTGATCTGATTTTTTTATTTTTAACATTTTTTTCCTTTTCTTTTCCATTCTCTTTTCGTATTCTCCTTCAGGGCAAGACAAGGATTTTGATTTTGGGACCCAGCCATGGTCCTTCTGCTCCTTCTTTAAAATGCCCACTTTCTCCCCATCGCCAAGCAGTGTTTGGCAATATCAGATATCCGCTCTATTTATTTTTACCTAAGGAAAAACTCCAGCTCCCTTCCCACTCCCAGCTGCCTCGCCACCCCTCCCAGCCCTCTGCTTGCCCTCCACCTGGCCTGCTGGGAGTCAGAGCCCAGCAAAACCTGTTTAGATACATGGACAAGAATCCCAGCGCTACGAGGCACACAGTCCGCTTCTTCGTCCTCAGGGTTGCCAGCGCTTCCTGGAAGTCCTGAAGCTCTCGCAGTGCAGTGAGTTCATGCACCTTCTTGCCAAGCCTCAGTCTTTGGGATCTGGGGAGGCCGCCTGGTTTTCCTCCCTCCTTCTGCACGTCGGCTGGGGTCTCCTCCTCTCCAGGCCTCGCCGTCCCCCTGGCCTCTCTCCCCGGCTCGCACATGAAGATGCACTTGCAAAGGGCTCTGGTGGTCCTGGCCCTGCTGAACTTTGCCACGGTCAGCCTCGCTCTGTCCACTTGCACCACCTTGGACTTCGGCCACATCAAGAAGAAGAGGGTGGAAGCCATTAGGGGACAGATCTTGAGCAAGCTCAGGCTAACCAGCCCCCCTGAGCCATCAGTGATGACCCACGTCCCCTATCAGGTCCTGGCCCTTTACAACAGCACCCGGGAGCTGCTGGAGGAGATGCAGGGGGAGAAGGAAGAAGGCTGCACTCAGGAAAACACCGAGTCGGAATACTATGCCAAAGAAATCCATAAATTCGACATGATCCAGGGACTGGCGGAGCACAGTAAGTCCACATTCTTGGAGGGGCGTCTACTCTGGAGGGTATGAACTGGAGTAGGGAGCTCCATGGAGGGGGGCCTGGTCCTGGCCACACAGGAGGGTGCCCCGGGGTTCACCAGCACCAAGGCTCAGGAGGTGTGATGCACAGTCGGGGCAGGGGCAGTAGGTGGGGACGGAGATAGAGTGATTCTGGTAAAAGCTGGGTGCTTCAGGGAGGCCAGGGGCCCTGGAACCCACTGGCTTGCTGAGCTTCCATCAAATCCTTGGCCGATTTTAATGTGGGATTATGTTGTGCTATCCAGGAAAACATATGTGTTCTTGTACATGCAATCATATGGCTAACTGTGAGCATCTGGGTGCCATAAAGGGGAAGGCTGGCTCTCTCAAGACCCTTACAGTTCTCTGAATCTGGAGACCTTGGTCTTCTCCCTGCTTTTCACAACTCATGTGACACGTCTCCGGTTCAGTTTTTCCAGTTCTTGGGAAGAAGAGTACCTGCCCTAAATTCATGTCTGTCAAGCTTCTTGAAGCCCAAGCAAGAGACAGCTTCTTGCTGCCTGGGCCCTTTGGTCTACCCCACCCACGTGACCCACGTGACCCTTGTGAGCTGTGGCAGGGGGGAGGGTATGCACAAATGTTCGCATGTCCCAGTACTTCAGGGAGACATGTACTCTTGAGTTGTACAGTAGACAGCTTCATGTGCTCAAAATGGGTGCCCTCCAGGCCGCTGGACCTGAGGAGAGTAGGGTTGTGGCTCTGGGTATTAGAGAGGGCTGGCACCCTTTGTGTCTGCGTGTCATGGGAGAGTAGGTGGGAGGGGGACGGTGGGTGCCGCAGGGATGTGTCTGGGATTCCACCTTCCCAGGAGACTCCCGTCAGCACGGAGGAGGTGGGCAGCTTCTGGGTGAGACGTCTGTGTGTTTGTACACGTGTGGAAGTCATGTGTGTTTACTGAACGGGGATTTTAAAAACCTCAATACAAGAGAGAGAAATTTGGCAGATGTTGAGAAACTGACAGCCCAGGAAAGAGGAATGTGAGCCTCTTATGGGCCAGAGACTTTGGGAGCAGCTCTGTTTGCTTTTCCTACCAGCAGGTGTCCTCGCCGCCCTGACTACCTGGGAGGTGGGCAGTGGTTGGAGTGGGGTGGGGGGAACATAGGATGAAGCATGAGAGAGGATGGTCAGGGGGTGAACAGCAGGGGTCAAAAGGAACCTGCCTGGAGAGAAGGAGCAGAAGTGGGTGCTGAGGGGTGGATCAGCTCTGGAGGAAGGTGCAAATGGCCCGGTTTGGGTTTGACCCATGCCAGGCAGGGGAGCCTGAGGTTGCTGGCAAGGGGTTTCCACTCCAGCTTCCTGTGGCTGCCCGGAGTGCCCTTCCTTAGGATGTGGCTGCTGTGTGGGGTGGAGGCTGAGGCCAAACTTGTGTGCCCTGCCCAGGGTCTCCTGGGTGGGGCTGGCTCATAGTTTGCCAGGGGCCCATAGTTCCCAGAGGCACCCAGGCTGGATATTGAGCCCCTGACTCCCCGGGCTCCACTAGGTAGGAAATAGTGACCACAAATGTCAGAGGAGGGTCAAAATCTGAGGCTAGCAGAAGTCTCAGGAGGGTCCCAGGCAAGAGGGCAGGACTCATACCTTGATGGTCTGGGTCAGGAGGAGGAGTCCAGAGGTAGAGGGAGTCTGAGTCACAAGGACCCCACCCAGCCTGGAATCCTGAGCTGAGAATGAATGAACCAGATGGATGCAAGGCCATGCAGGTCCAACTCAGGACATTAATGCAGGGCAATGCAGGACACTGATTTTGGGCAGAAACTCAGAAAGGACAGCCTTGGGGAAAGCTAGGGCAGAACCGCACAGATGCTGGGTAGCTTTCTGGCTGTAGCACTAAAACCTTACAACTACGACAGATGGGAGAAGGGAGTATAGCGCCATGGAGCAGTGGTCTGGCCCAAGGCCTAGGGAGCAAGATTCTGTTTGGGATGCAGAGGAGGGGCCCAAGCTCAGAGGGACAGGGGTGATGCTATGGAGGCTCACAGGTGCAAACAGGAAGCAAGCCCAGGCTCTGCAGCTGTTGGAAGTGACACAAAGCAGGCATGCAGACAGGGACCTGGACCCACCCTGCAGCTGGTCAGGTGCTGAGCCCCCCATGGAGAGGCAGACACATGAGGCATAATAATTATAAAGGAGGCAGCAGACAGAGGCAGGGTAGGAGCAGACAGCCATCTTCAGAGGCATTGGGTAAGGGAAGCCTGTCCTTAATTCTTAAGGGCAGACTAGGGGGTGGCACTAGGTTGCTTGGGTCACCAGCAGGGTCTCGTTGCCACAGCTTCTGCTGGAGGTATGGAGATCACATTGTTTTCCAAATTTCATCAGCTCAGGCCACCTCCCTTTACCCAGAGGACAGGCACTGAAGGGGAGTGATGTTAGGACCCGGGACAAGGAGCCACAAGTCCCAGGGAGGAAAGAGAAAGAAGCAATACTCTTCTGTGGTGCAGGAGAAAGGGCACCAAAGTGACAGCAGAGAGGAGGGCCCATCCTCTAGCTCTGCCCTGCTGTATAGATTTTATAGATGAGGAAACTGAGACTTGGACCAATTAAGTAATTTATCCAAAAAGCAGGGACTCTAGTCTGGACATTCTACATTCTATTACGTAGAACACTGCTGTGCTTTGAATCACGTGTTGGACTAAGCAGGAGGAACTCAGGCCAGGTTCAAACCCACCAGCCTCGGTGTATGTGGCTGGCGCTGTAACCACTGTGCTGTGGGTGCCAAGCTCGTTCACCTAATTGTAGTGAACGGGTTTTCTTTCTCTTGAGTCTCAAGCAGGTTAAGCAACCACAGCCATGCCAATATCACCCCCTCTGAGCTCCAGTTTCCTCATCTGGAAAGTCAGAGATGGGCTCCAAATTCCCTTTTAGCTGAAAGAATTTTATAATTATATCTGGGATGATTCAACAGTCTCTACTGGGGAGTACGGGCAGGACTTTGTAATCCCTTTTGTAACTCTCCAGGATTTTGCTATGGGAAGTGAGCTGACCCTTTCTCAGACCTGTGTGGTGGGGACATGGCTTTTTTAGTCTCTTTGTTATCCTTAGCAAGATATCACCAGTGCAGGTGGTGTCTTTTTATCTTCTGGTTTGTAATTATCTGTGTCTTCTGGGGACACTATTCTTGTTTTTGGCCAAAGGCAACCAACAAGCACAGAGTTCCTGAGCAAAGAGAAAACTCAGTATTTTAGATTTTCTTTTCTGGCTGCTAAATGTAGATGTTGTTCATTTTGACTTTTCTTTTTTTTTTT